AGTTTTATCCTTTTTTATATAATCCATTTGATTTAAGCAGGCAAGCTTTTAAATTTTAGTGACTCTATTAGCTAGCTTTTATAATTTAGTATTTTTGTAGTAATAAGTATTTTTGTACTGAACATGCATGTATAATCAAGTTATACTTTCATACCATTACATTAATATCAATAAAATTCTCGATTGGCTTAATGAAAAAAAAAAGATGTCCAGGGTCCTATACAGGTAGTATAGATTTCTAAAATAAATTTGAATACAGGAATTTAAAAAAAAATGAATAATTATTTTTTGTTTTTACACCGTTTTTTATTTGATAATATTACATTTTATATAGAACTATTAGTTAAAAAAAAAAATATCTAGATGTAGTATTTATTGAATTTTTATTTTTTACATTATTTTATATTTGATAATATTTATATATAGCAAATTTTTATTTAAAAGAAAAATATATAGATTTCATTTATGTTGTTTTATTGAATTATTTTTATGGTTTTATCATTCTGTATCTGATAGTATATACATATAGCTAATAAAAAAAGATCTATATATGTGTACTATTTGTAGCATACAGCCCAGAAATGAGATATAGATAGAGAAAGAAAAAAAATGTAACATTAGTAGTAAAGATAAAAAAATGAAGTCGAATAGTAAAAAATGTGTTAAGGAGAACATTGAAAAGAAAACTTTAGTAGTAAAACTAATTGGAATAAATGGAATGATTCAGTATTTTATTGGGAAGGTCATTGGGCAAATTTTTAGGTAAATCTTGACAGTCGCCTAAAAATTTTGGTTGTATTATTGTTTGTAATGGTAATATAATCATTTAGCTGTTTAGGTGACAGGTTGATTTTTTCTTCAGAGAAGTAGTCTTGTTTCATAATGCTTAGTTCTTATATATATTTTGTTTTTCTTATTTTTATAAGTTTAGTATATGTAAATAAGCATAGTTATATTAAGATGAGATTGCATCAAATTTATATACAATATATTTTTAAAATATATTTAATTATTAATCTTAATTAGAATTGCATAAACAGATCATATTATATTTATTATTTACTTTTAATATTAATTATTGTACTAACTACTAAAATTACCTAAAATTAATAATAACTTGAAATTTCAATTTAGCATTTAAATAAGATTTAAATTCAGCTGAAATATTAAACTTTAAAAAAAATTATAATTCTAAATCAATTTTTACAACTTTTAAAAAGTATTAAAATAAATACATACTTATAATAGTTATCTTTGCAAAGTTTATTAAATAAAAGTGCCTTATTTTAATTTATTATGCTGCCAAATAGGATCATGTTGTTTTTAACATACTGATATTTTTTAGATTGCGTAAATGATATTTTTACGCATTACGTCATATAGATTAATTATCACATGTTTACAATGCTTTTCATATGGAACATGATCTTGGACGTTTGCATAATAAATAACACAATTATTAGGTATGGTGGTTAAAATATCATCCGAACTGGTTCGGGTGATATTTCAATAACTATGATTGATTTTCACAGCTGCGCCGTGAAAATCATTGATATCCGTAAAATAAATATTACATAACTTAACACCGGCTACTTTTTATGTGAATTATTTTAACATTTTCATTTTGGACAAATTTATCTTAAACCGGGGGGTCGAGATTCTTTATCCTAAACCCCCTATATAAATAAGTTTTTTTAAAAGTAATCGACACGTGATTAATACAGTTACAAGAACCCTGAACCCCCGGTTTATTTTTAATTTTTTTTAAGGACAACACTTTTATGTAATGGCGTTTATTTGCGAAGAAATCATGTGATTTACAAATATAACACATAATTTTTTAACGGATCAAATTTAGTAATTGATGTACAATTGTTTTGATTTCGCGTATGCGGTTTTAAATTAATAACATTATTAATATTAATCGGAATAACGCGAAATTTTTTTTATCAAATTCCGAAAATTCCGAACGGATTAACGCATTATCTTACAGAATAATCGTTTAAAAAATTTCAAAAATATAGTAAATTTTTGAAACACCTAAAACTAATGATCCTTATTTACGCCTATTTGATTTAGCCCAATCATCAGATATAATAATTTTTACTGGGTGAAATTCAAATAAAGTTATTCCGTTCATTGTTATTATTTTGTTTATACTAAAAATTATTTTACGAAGAATCAATTGAATTAAAATTCCGGATAAATTTAAAATAATGAGTGAGAGTAAACAAAAATGTAAGAAAGCGTGCTTTTTAAGCTACAAAGTATTTGTATAATAGATTATCATAGATCAGTGAAGTACAAGTTTATTACTCAATTTGCATACGGGCTTAGATATTAGAGATATGTATATATATATATATATATATATTTTTATTCACAAATGATAAAGAAAGCAGACATTGAAACTCAAAAGAGAGGCGTAAAAGTATCAATGTGAATGGATACATTGATTTTATTTTTGGTAAATTTCGTAAAGTGAGAAACGTACGATGAATTATAGGAAATTGATTTACTAATTGTTTACAGATTGATTATTAAAGTGAATAATTAATAACGGCGTAAATAATTCTAGGTATGTAACGTTACTAGAAAGGACACGTGAATCATAACTTTGGAAATTTGGCAAAGTCATAATTCCGGCTGAATATTTTGGGATATTAATTGATTTTGTATCACACAATGATAGTTTGCACAAACTTTACGTTATGAAACGGGAATTTATGTCAAGATTTGCGGATTGGCGTGAACATGTGACCATTATACGATAGTTTTGGTTAAATAGATTAAGAATATGGACAAGGAGTACCTTTAAGGGAACACAAGAGAGTTCGCCACCCTTGTTTTTTTTTTGTTTCAAGCCTTTGTTGAAGATGTCAAAGTGGCTCGTAAAGTAATATAACAATATGTTTCAAATGTAAGAACGACATTATCATCTTTCCCGGTTTTATTTCACAAGTTAAAAACAATGATGCCAGTTGGCTTATTATAAGGCACGTTTTTTTTTTTCCTCGTTTACGGTATATTAAAGTTTTTTTTTTTAAAAAAAAAAATTCCTTTTTATATACATATTTTATTTCTTTTTGCATATTTATTTACGCCATTAAAAACCTAATCAAAAAAAAACTTAACTAATCCATAAAATGTAATGTAATGCTATGCTATGTATTTAACCGTTTGTTTTTTTGCATCGAAAAAAAAAGAAAAATTATTTTTTTTTTTTTTTCATTTAGTTTTCTAATTGGTAAATTAGTACTGGGAATATTATTGCACTTTATTACCATGTATGTATAAACTCACTCGAATATCTAAACTATTTATTTAGTGACCCGACTTATTTCATGCATTGTAATGATTACATATATACAATATATAATGAATATATTATTTCAAACCTCGTTCGGAATATTCGTTTTTCCCTGATTTCTTTGTATTTTTTTTGGATGCAATTGAATAAATTTATATAAGCGAGTTTTTTTAAAATTTTACCTTCTGAGTTAAATTCTTAATAAATAATCGCTTCTTTAACTTAACATGTAATAAACTTAACATCTTACCTTAACTGGTTAGTGTTTTTGTAAATCTTGACCAAATTTAGTTTTTTTTTTTTAGTTGTTTTTCCAAATTTGTACTTATTCGAAAATTGGGTAATTATTGGTTTTTTTTAATCAGTAATACTGCGGTTATTAGTTTCAAGTTCAAATTTGAAATTTGAAGTTTAAACTTTTAAAACTTTAATTCACATGAAAAAAAGTTGATTCTCATCCTTTAGAAGAATTTTTAGAATAATATTAATATTATAATTCATTGTTATATATATTAATTAAAAATATTTTACTTTACCATACTGCGAATGTTTCTCATTTTCTATAATGAATATAGGTAAATAAATAATCATCAAAATATTTACCTATTTTTTTTACAAACATTGCACAAAATAATTTATAATTATTTGATTACTCTTTGCTACGCTGTTACGTATACTACGTAGTATAGATTGCATCATATATCTAATATATCTAATATATCTCTCTCGTCATTTATATATATATATTTTTTTTTATTGGTAAAATGAAATTTTTTTTTTATTTGAATTCCATTTATAGAAATATAGAAATAAGATCATCGTATTTCACATTGTCATACAAGGAATCAAATCTAGTTAAATAAATATTGGCATATGATATTACTTTTAGGTAATTTCTTATTGACTAAACATAAACATTTACATTTTCTTTTTCTTTGGAAAGAATTTTTTTTGAGCGCGTGGTCTCTCAAAAGTAAAAAATTATAAATTATGATTTAATTTTTGGGGCAAAAGTCCGAAATTAATTTCATATGCATATTTTAATTCTTAGACCAAGAATGTAAGTATTATGACGATTATTCGCATAAATTATACGCGCGCCACAATGAGCCACAATTTATATCGGATAATTATTATTGATATTTATGGAAATTATAAAATTAATAACAAGTTTCTTTCGGTCCTTTCCCAGCATCATTTCGACGTGCTTGCTGTTATGTATAAGCAAGCAAGTAAATGGTGAGAATTTCCATGGACGCCATGAGGTATTAAAACTTGTTTTTAATTATTTTAATATATGGGGTAATAGTCTAATAAATATTTTTTCTTTGCCATTCTTCCGATTTTTTCGAGGTTCGATTTTCGATTTTTTTTTTTTTTTTTTTTTTTTTTANCAAAAATTTATTATTCATATGAGGAGTAACACAATTCAAAGGTAACACCTTTGCAAATCGAACTTTATTAAAATAATACAATAAAACTGTATATTTTGTCAATTAAAGTATAAAAGCGCAAAAAAATTTTTTTTTTTTTCCTTTAATTTTTTTTTTTTTTTTTTCTCTTGCATATTTTTTTTGTGCAGTTTTAGTTAAATATAAAATTCGATTAAAATCGGATCTTTTTTAGAAAATTTTTGACCATTCACATATAATATCTTTAAAGAGTTATATTTATTACACAGTATTTAGTAGGACTATAAATATTATTTGTACACGAGGAAAAAAAAATCCATAAAAAAACGGGAAATTTCATTAACATTCTTTCTTTCCTTTTATCCTTCTTTTCATTCTTTTTATATACTTTAAAATACTAATTATATTTGATAGTTCATAATATTATATTACTATGAACTTATCGATATCTCCTCTTACACCATTTCATCCTACTTCATCGGTAAGTTATTCTGTTATATTCTTGGAAAAAAAAAACTTTATTCGTTATCGTAATCATCTGCATATCTCTCTTCTCCACCCCACTACACCCCCCCCCCTTTATATCGTTACTATTAATATCCCTTTTATATTATTTTATTGTAATTATTTATATTATTATTTTAAACATAATATAAATAATTAAGTAAAACGAAATATTTCATTTATTTTATTTTATTTTATTTTACTTATTTTAATAGAAAAAATTTATATATATCTCGAAAAGAACAAAAATTAAATCAATCCCCTTTTAACTCACCATATATTTATATATATATATTTTTTTATTTTTTATTTTTTATTTTTTTATTTTCCTTCGGTTCTCTTAATAGCGACAAAGAAGAAGATCGAATAGTTCAAGTAACATACTAGCCTCAACTGTAAACGTAAAAGCGGTCCGTTCTCCCAGGAGGAATGAGAACTTGGACGATACATCTGATAATAGTACAGAAGAATATTTTGAAGATAATAAACTTGCTTCTTCAAATCGTACAATACCGCGTCCTCCTAGATTAGCTTTTGACACTCAACATAATTTAAGAATTCCCATGACGCCCCCTTCAAGACAAGAATATAAAGCACATCACCAAAATCATTCACATATGTTGTTATCATCTTATAATAATAATATAAATAATAGTCATCATGACTATTATCACCACAATTTTTCTAATGGTTTATCTGGAAAAGAATCAAGGACAACAAGTTTTAGTAGTACAAAAAGTAATAAAAGTACTCAGAGTATGAATAAATCATTAACCGCTTTCTATAATGAACGTATAGAGAAACGTACAAGTATGGCTTTTGATGATGAGGAAGATGATGATATTTGTTCTGATTCTGACTCTGATACAACTTTATCCGTTTCTTCTTCAACTTGTGGTGATGATGTTCGTGATAATAGAAGAAATAATCGTAATAATCAATTGGCTAAACAGGTATCATTGTTACGAAAGGAAATAGATGTTGTAAAAAGTTCTTTAGAAGGTTTACAAAAAGATCATAAGGAAATGTTAAATGAAAAAAAACAATTGGAACAACAATATCAGGAAACTAGATATGAAGTAACGAAAACTTTAGAGTGTAGTACTAATGATTTAATGGAATATAATGAATTATTAAATGCTAAAATGGAAACATTATCTTTAGAAATGGGTACACGTGACAATTCGGACTTTTCTCATTTTTCTGAGGATATTAGTATAATAAATAATTGTAATGTTGAATGGCCAATAGAATATACAAATATTATGAACAATTGTGTACAACAGGCAAAAGAATTAGAATATTTCCAAGTTGAACTGGAAAAATCTAAACAAGATTTTCGTTTATTATTAAGTTTTAAAGAAGAAATTGAAAGAACTTTGGAAGAAAAAGAACGTGAATATTTAGAGAAACTTCGAGAATGTGAAGCTGTTGCTAATTATCAAGTTGGTACTATTGATTCCATGGAAAAATTATTAAAAGAATTAGAAATAAAGATGGATAAATTACAGAATGAACAACGACAAGAACGTACTGGAAAACATAAACATAGTTCTTCACATTTGTCCGCAAGCAGTATATTAAGTAATGGTGAAAAACTTAAAAAGAAACATGCTCAAAAATCTTCTGTCGATATAAAGAATGTTTCTTTGCAAAATAATTCCTCAAATGACAATTCTACTGCTTCTGTGGAAGATTTAATACCTTCATATTGTTTATCTCCTCCACAGACACGTCGTCAGTCATGTACAAATCCAATAACATTATTTACGGACGAAGAACGAATTCGACATCAAACACGTTTTTGTAAGTAGGCGAAATATTACTTAACATACATTTCTATATTATTTAATAAATATAAAAATCCTAATCTATAAATTTGTTCTTTTTAGGTTTAGCAAGTCGATGGGTTGAAGATGATGAGGTATCAATATGTCAACAAGCTGGTTGCAGTGTTAAATTTAATTTATGGAATCGAAGGCATCATTGTCGGAGGTAAATTGATTTCTGAAATTATCGATCATTTTCTTATTCAAACTGTTAACTTACGTAATTTCATTTGTCTTGTCTCATTTTATAGATGTGGTAATATATTTTGTAGTACACATAGCGCCTATTCCATGCTACTGTTTCCTGATGGTATCGAGGATTGGGGCGGTGTATGGTCAAGAGTATGTGAAAGTTGTTTTAAAGATTCAAAATAAGATTTTTTTTTTAGTTGTAGTTTTCTAATTTAGGAATCATATGGACTATATTTTAAACTAATACGGATAAAATCATGTCCACTTTGTTTATTTTTGTATTATACTATATACATGTACACTTATTTTAAAGAATTATTATTTAATTATTTTGTTTTTTTTAGTATAGGAAAAATACTTTTTTCGAAAAAAAAAAAAAAAGTTATATTATCATGAATTAAAGCATAATTAATTTATTAACAAAAGAATTATTTAGTATATAGGGATAAAAATTTTTTGTAATATTTGTAATATATATATATATATGTATACATAAAACAATAATTTTTTAATTCGGTCTTGTGATCAAGTGATAATCATATAATACTACAATTATAATCGTGTATTTCCATTATGTTGGTTGTAAAACTAGGAAACGGAAAGTCTGAAGTGCTGTTTAAGGTCACGTGCCGGACAGACATCCAGACATTTTGTATCACCTTTCGAGTTGTGCAATTTCGCAGATTTTACTTTATAGAATTTTTCTTATTCATGTAATTATCTTATCATGTTATGTTAAATAAATAAATAAATTTCTCATAAAACCTTTAAGTGTAATGATAACAGGATTCAAGCGTAATACTCTGGCATTATTTCCATTACGCAATTTAAAAATCATTAGTAGTAAGATTTAAGAATGTCCCTGATTTTATTTACAATGATCACCTCAGTAATAATTTCCATTTATTAATTACGCAATAAAAAAAAATCAATCAATCAATAAACTTTTAAAACTCTTAAACTCTTAAATAAATAAATAAATTTGATGTTATTAAATATGATGATTCATAAAAAAATTTGGTCTTCTTTCATTTCATGCTTTTTAACATGTCACAATTACTCAATTACTCTAGAAAATGTGGAAAAGTTATGCAGAATAATGACTAATAATCCAATTTTAGATGTAATTATTGAATAGTATTTCTATTTATTTAGCTCCTTTAACCCTACCTGTTGTACTACATAATGAGATACAGTACTTCGAGAACTGTACTTAGTGCTATAAAAAGTATAATAATGCTTGATGATCCAGTAATTAAACAAATGGAGAAACAGATATTTATGGGCAAAACATAGATAGTATTTGTATTCAGAATTAATGATGACTTTAGACAGAATAATAATCATATTTCTGGATAGTATTAAATTTTGTTTCATCATTTGAGTCCTTTATATCAGTTTTCTTATATTATTCTTTTTCTTTCCTTTAAATAGGACCTGCTATCAGGCAGATATTTCAGACATATATGTATCTATCATAATAATTCATAAATTAATATTAGGTGGTTGAATTAATCTTTTGATTATAATAAAAAAATGATTATAGAATTTATGTAATGTGATAAAATATCATTCCAATTCTAAAAAGAAATATTTGTGTTATTAAAGGACCTCACTTACTTATAATAAAAGTTACTGTAAAAAATTAACCTTTTACTAATAATTTTTACCTTACTTTTTTCTTAAATTTTATTTACAAGTTGAAAAATGAAAAATCAGGCATCAATCAGTCACCAATCTGTCACCAATCAGGTAGCTGGTTGGTGACTAATTGGTGACTAATTGGCATTTTCGCCAAATACTGTTACCAATCAGGCAGTTTGCTAACTTTTGACCCAGTGATCAGAAAAGGATGAAATATAGCTCGTTGGAATCATCTCAACAAGACGAATCTAATGGTAGTAAAATTACATTTCTAGGATTAATACATGATGAGAAATTAAGTAAAATATAAAAATAAAAATGTATCATTTATATTTTATTTAATTTTTTATTAACTATTAATCCTAGAAATACGATTTTACTACCATTAGATTCGTCTTGTTGAGACGATTCCAATGAGCTATATTTCATATTTTTCTGACCACTGGATCAAAAGTTAGCAAACTGCCTGATTGGTGACGATATTTAGCGAAAATACTAATCAGTCACTAATCGGTCACCAACCAGCTACCTGATTGGTGACCGATTGGTGACTGATTAATGCCTGATTTTTCACTTTTCAACCTGTGATTGGTTAATTAGTAGTTAAAAAGGAAAAAAATTATAACAATATAATATAAAATTTTCTGTATAGTAAGATCTGCAAAAAATTTTATATATAATTTTTATCTTAGATCTGAAGGTGACCTATCTTTACAGGTCGAAAGTTGCCAAATTGGGGACTATCTAGGCTATCCTAAAAGGACCTAGATGGTCCCCGATTTTTTATTTATTTTTGCAGGGTGTCCGATTGGTAACTATAAAATGGCCCCAATCATACAGAATAAGGTTATCAATAGGGTACCTATTCATTTGCAATTGGATATCAATAGGATTAACCTTATTGTTATCCTTTTTTTTTATTTACTTGTTAGATTAACCTATTGTTATTCATTTTTCTTATTTAGTAGCTTACCGATTGATGTCATTTTAGTTAATTATATCAATATATATACATAATTTATTAAAAAGTAATCAATAGGCTATGTCCGATTGTAAAAAAAATTAACATATAGAATTAATACATGCTTTTGATTGATTCCAAATTGCTACTTAATTTATCAATTTATTATATCAGATTTATATTACATGTAATTAATTAATTTCAATTGATACATGATTTTCATTATGCACCCCTAGTAAATATAACTCTTTTTTTTTCCAAAAGTTAAAAACATTTCTTTTTTTGTTCATAATAACGTGGTCAAAAAGTCTGAAGACAGAAAAAAAATTTTGTTGTTTAATTATAATCTAACTGAATCTGTTTATTATGTAACCAGTTCAGACTGTTTGGTAATATCAAAATTTTATTTATTATTATTTTATTTTTATAATAAATGGTATATCAATTAAAGTTCGTTACACACTATACCGAATTTTTATATGAAATTCGGTATATTGAGATTTTTTTTGAATACTATGAAACTGGTTTTTAAAAAAAAGCTGAGAGTTCGTTACATCGTGAGTTTATTATATCAGCATTAGAGCTCCGCATAGGTAAGGGTCAATTCAGGTGACCCGTCGGGTTGACCTGAAATATTCAGGTCAGGTTGTCAAATTCATGACCCGGTATCAGGTCGGGTTACAGGTTTGACCCGACCCGATTGACCTGTCAACCCGAATACTTTAGCTCAAAAAAAATGTTTATACTCTGAAACGGCATTTTTTCATGTTACCTTATGAAAAAAACGCTGTTTCGGCATTGTTTTTTATAAACAAATACGCCGAAATGGCGTTTTTCATTTTATTTTATGGAAAAATGCCGTTTCGGCATTTTTTTCACTTCTTTTATGAAAAAAATCGCCAAAATGGCGTTTTTTCATATTATTTTATGGAAAAATGCCGTTTCGGCATTTTTTTTCACTTCTTTTATGAAAAAAATCGCCAAAATGGCGTTTTTTCATATTATTTTATGGAAAAATGCCATTTTGGCATTTTTTTCACTTCTTTTATGAAAAAAATCGCCAAAGCGGCTTTTTTCATATTATTTTATGAAAAAATGCTGTTTCGGCATTTTTCATATTATTTTATGAAAAAATGCTGTTTCGGCATTTTTTCCCACTTCTTTTATGAAAAAATTGCCAAAACGGCGTTTTTTTATATTATTTAATGGAAAAATGCCAAAACGGCATTTTTTTTCACTTCTTTTATGAAAAAAATCGCCAAAACAGCGTTTTTTCATATTATTTAATGGAAAAATGCCAAAACGGCATTTTTTTTCACTTCTTTTATGAAAAAAATCGCCAAAGCGGCGTTTTTTCATATTATTTAATGGAAAAATGCCAAAACGGCATTTTTTTCCACTTTTTTTATGAAAAAAATTGCCAAAGCGGCATTTTTTTCACTTCTTTTATGAAAATATCGCCAAAGCGGCATTTTTTCATTTATCTTATGGAAAAATGCCGTTTTGGCATTTTTTTTCACTTCTTTTATGAAAAAAATCGTCAAAACAGCGTTTTTTCATATTATTTTATGTAAAAATGCTAAAACAGCATTTTTTTTTCACTTCTTTTATGAAAAAAATTGCCAAAGCGGCGTTTTTTCATATTATTTAATGGAAAAATGCCGAAACAGCATTTTTTTCCACTTCTTTTATGAAAAAATCGCCAAAATGGCGTTTTTTCATATTATTTTATAGAAAAATAACCTGAATACTTTCAGGTCAGACGGGTCAGGTCAGGTCAGAGCAGGTTACCCGACCCGACCCGACCTGATAAAAATTTTTTGGTTCGGGTCAGACAAATTACCCGACCCGACCCGACCCGTGCGGAGCTCTAATCAGCATATTGAATCACATGGTATATTTGAATATCTCAAATATCTACTTTGCTAACAATGCCAAATTTTCATATGAATTGTGTAATCCTTGTACAAGGTATATTTAAATTTAAAATATATGGTACAATATTTGCAAACACTTGTAAAATACATATTCTTATGTTTTTCACAATATCTAATTTATACATCAATAAATTTTGCAATTAATTAATAAAAAATAAACTTGTGGAATTACTATTTACTATAGTGTTCCAATCTGATTAGCCGCTATCCAGATTTTTGACGGATATCTGAATATTGGCGATTATACAGATAACGGATAAGTTAACAGATCAGATTACACGGATAATAGATAATAACAGATCAGATTTCTCAGATGACAGATAATAACAGATTCATCTGACGGATATTTGACAAATTCAATTTATAATGATTCAGATCCCACCAAATTATGTGACGTTACACAAATTTCCAAAAAAGGAAATTTTGATTTCTGTGAAAATAGGAATTCTTGTTGTATAAGGATCTAAAAAAGGAAATTCTGGTGCCAATCAGTTAATGCCGACTAGAATTATATCATATACAAATTTTAATGGTATTAATGGATAATCCAGATAATCCTTAAAGATAATCTGGATAATCTGGATAATACTTATGCGAATATTCCAGATGACAGATTTCTAATTAGATCAGATAAACAGATGGCGGATTCTAATCAGATCAGATAAAATGGTGACAGATATTCTCAGATTGGAACACTAATTTACTAAATATTTTCACAAATGAATAATTATCGCTGTTTTCAATTTGGTGCGATCATAGCATAATACCTCTAAAAATAATCAATTTTTAAAAATTTGT